TAAGCGTCGGGTAGGTGAGACGCTGGCTTGTAATTGGCGGACAAGAATTTCCCATCAGCCAATAAGAAGAATTTTTGTAAGAGTGTTTTAAGTAGAATATATCCAGCCTTTGTGTGTGTGCGTGACGTCATTATACAGAAGGTGAATTAACGTACTGGATTGTAAAGAAAAAACAAGACAATATAAAAACTCTTAAAATGTACTTAACATTAAAAAATATTAATAATATTTTTTTTTGAAGATATTTTATTTATAAATATTTTTAAGTGGTATATTAACAAAAATTAAACGTGTTAATACTGAGACTCTAGGAAGTTAAATATTCCTATGGGGAATATATCTCGTAAGTGAAAATTTGAGAATTTACTTAATTATTTCACTTAAGATAAAAGCAAACAAAAAATAAGTTAATAAAATCACATCTCCATAACACACCAAACTACTACAGCCTTTTCTTTTTTTTTTCTTTTTTTTTTATTTTACGGGAATTAGCCGACCCGGGCACAGGTCACTGACCCACCCGGGCCTGGGGGGCGAAAATGTAATAATAATAATAATAATAATAATAATAATAATAATAATAATAATAATAATAATAATAATAATAATAATAATAATAATAATAATAAAAATAATAATAATAATAATAATAATAATAATAATAATAATAATAATAATAATAATAAAGAACAATAAAGAAATACAAAAATGAAAAAAGATCAATAGTGAGAAACGATATATGACTGTTGTGTTGTCTATAATATGATAAACAATTGAGACCCTGCAATTGCGTGTAAATGAGGCAGAAAGTCAGATCAGCAACCTGGGACTTGGTCACAATTTTCGTGATGCCATATGGCAGCAGGGTCTACCATTAGACAACACATTATGCTTCCAATATCTTCCCAGGCGGTAGGACCTCCCTGTTTGATAGCTGCCTACTACCTACCTTAACTACCTACATTCACTTAAGCACCAGATTAAGTCATTGTTACTTATATCATTAAAAAAATACATATAAATAAATATTGTCTTATTCACAATCCTTCATAAGTAGCTGTAGTTAAGGTAGAGTTTTCTCAGTGTTTTGAAGATGTCAGTTTGTTCAATAAATTTGGGGGGAAGTTTTGCCTCAAGTCTTCAGTACATGTTCTTTATTTCCTCTAAACAACCTTTGAGAATTTTCCTGTTGATATATTTGATTCTGTTTTGTTTGGTTTGATTTGATTATGGGGAAGCGAGATATACGACTTGTTTTGTATTTATCTGTGCCGTAGACAAGGTGAGGGTGTGGGGGGGCAAATACTGAGTTAAGAGAGTGTGACGTGTTTCATGTTTCTATAATGGTATATTTATTTTATTTATTTATTCTATGTATTTATTTATTCTATATATTTGTTTTATTAATTTACTTATTTATTTTATTATTTTTATTTATTTTATTAGTATATTTTATTTTTATATATTTATTTGTTTGTTTTTGTTGGAAATGACAAATAATTGGCTATAAATATTACAAAAACAGTATTGTATTAACATTAAACCCTTATTATAACTATTTAAAAATATATTTGAAATATAAGACAAATAATAAAGACCAATATATCCCAATAATACAACTTAAACCAAAAAATATAGGAACATTACTGACAATAAAAAAATAAAAATTATATAATACCAAATGAAACTAATCGATTTTTTTTATATAAGTTTTTAGATCTATTAGGTGAAGTAAGAGTCAATAGTCCCATTGTCTGTGTAAACAACCTAGACCTCCAACCACACAGCTGAGGTCAGGGTATTGGGGGAGGGGGTAGACAGGGAGGAACGGATAACAGAATAAATCTTAAATTAAAAATAAATAAGTAAACAAACATATTTATAGAAAACTCCCCCCCCACCCCCCCCAAAAAAAGTAAGAAAAAGAAAAGTCGACATTTTATTAAGTTTACATAATAATTTATTCGTTTCCTTTTGTTTCTTATATATAACAGAAAAAATTTCACCTTTATTAACATCAATCTATAAATTCCACAATAATATAGTTTTTTTTATTATATTTCATCTTTTTTTTGTATTTTAAATTTTTTTCTTGGTCGAGTTTTTTGAGACGAATAATAATCCGGAGTCATGATCGCCTATAGTTGGTTAATTAATTCATTAATATCTTCAAGGTTTATGGCGATATGGTCCACTGACTCGTGTCTATTTAGTGTAATGTCCCCTCTTAAGACACCTGTGGGTTAGCACTGTCCTTACACTGGCTCTCCTGTGTGTGTGTGTGTGTGTGTGTGTGTGTGTGTGTGTATAGAGGTGTAACATGATAAATAAAAGAGAAAGGGATAAACAAGAGAAATGAAGGAGTAAATAAAAGAGAAACAGAGAGAACAAAAGATAAATAAGTGAACGAACAAAATGGAACCAGAATGAAAAGATAAGACACTAGTAAATTAACAGAAGAGAAATGTTAGGATAAACTGAACGAAGATTTATGAAAACTCTCTGTTGAATGAAGATTAGTAAAGAGGAGGAGAGACAAAGCGATAAAGGGTGGGAATGAAGGAGGTAGAATGGTGGTGGTGTGAGGGTGGGAATGAAGGAGGGGGAATGGTGGTGGTGTGAGGGTGGGAATGAAGGAGGGGGAATGGTGGTGGTGTGAGGGTGGGAATGAAGGAGGGGGAATGGTGGTGGTGTGAGGGTGGGAATGAAGGAGGGGGAATGATGATGGTGTGAGGGTGGGAATGATGGTGGTGTGAGGGAGGGAATGATGGTGGTGTGAGGGTGGGAATGGAGAAGGGGAATGGTGGAGGGAATGTATCAAGTTTCGTATGACTATGTGAATGGTTATGACAGGAATAGTAGTAGTAGTAGTAGTAGTAGTATAGGTAATGATAAAGTTTTACTCTCGATATTTATGATGACGTTACGATAATAAATGTATTTGAAGATGATTTTGGCGTGTTAGATCAAATGTTAACATGATACTGTAAATATGTTAATGATAATGTTAACATGATACAGTAAATATGTTAATGATAATGTTAACATGATACAGTAAATATGTTAATGATAATGTTAACATGATAAGTAAATATGTTAATGAAAATGTTAACATGATACAGTAAATATGTTAATGATAATTTTAACATAAGTAAATATGTTAATGATAATGTTAACATGATACAGTAAATATGTTAATGATGATGTTCGTAGTAATTAAGCCATACGGTATTTTGTTATTTGCTGAGATTATCTGGGGGGCACAGCGACGCGTCTCATCACAATATACAAAGCAATTCACTCGTTTTGATGTAATGATCGTAACTACTTCTTCATCAGCTGTAATTAACTACATTAACTCTCTGTAATTATATAAAGCACTGTGGATTTATCTGTTATGTCTATATATCTATCTATCTATATATATATGTATCTATATGTCTATTTATTTATTAGGTAAAAAGATACACCTGTTCAATTTCCTGCCAGGTATTGGTTAATTAATTTTCTCACACTTGTTTCTTCATTAGATCTTAGTCTAGCTGGGGGAAAACTCTTTTTTGGTTTTCATATTTAAAACATAAAGGTAATTACTCTTTGTTTGTAATTAGCTATGAGTGATTTTTTTTATTATTATTAATGAGTAGATGTGCGGATGAGAATATAGCTTTTCAATAACCAAGTCAAATAAGCTTCTTTTGTTTTACCGCCGCAAAGACTTAATTCCTCATTGTTGTTGCAAGTCAAGCGAGAGACTGGTGTACTCTTAGAGGCTACACTGTTTTATTTCGTCTTCGTCTTCCTATATTTTGGAAGTTGGGTTATTATCCTTTCATGTGATTAATTATATCTTGTTCTGACCATTGTCTCACCATTGTCATTACAGTTTCTTCATTTTCTTTCTTTATTCGTATTTTCTTTATTTTCCTTATTGGTATTTCTTCTATTCTTGTTTTTTATCAGTTTTCTTCATTTATTGGGTATTTTTATATTGTCTTCATTTATGTGATTTTGTCATAATTATTTTCCTTTCTTTTCATGTTTTTTTTTTTAATTTCCCTTATAATTCCTTTTTTATTGCGTATTGGTTTGGCCATTTTTCTTATTCATTTTAATATTTCATCTTTATTCATATTCTAAGTTAGTGATCATCATAATTCACTAAGTTATCCCACAACTTGTTCTTTCCAGTAATGGTTGTTCTTGTTGTTGTGTCAAGCTATAATTATGGGTGTTGTTGTTGGTGTTGGTGGTGTTGTGTCGGGCAATGGTTGTTGTTGTTGGTGTTGGTGGTGTTGTGTCGGGCAATGGTTGTTGTTGTTGTTGGTGGTGGTGTTGTGTCTTCAGAGCAATGGTTGTTGTTGTTGTTGTTGGTGGTGGTGTTGGTGGTGTTGTGTCGGGCAATGGTTGGCTTGTTGTTGAGTGAGCAATTGGTGTACATGTCGGGCCAATGGTTGTTGTTGTTGAGCTGTTGGTGGTGTTGTGTCCAGGCAATGGTTGTTGTTGTTTGTTGGTGGTGGTGTTGTTGGTGTGTCTGTTTAATGGTTGTTGTTGTTGGTGGTGAGTGGTGTTGTCGCGGGCAATGGTTGTTGTTGTTGGTGAGCAATTGGTGTTGTGTCCAGACGTGGTTATTGTTGTTGGTGGTGGTGGTGTTGTGTCAGGCAATGGTTGTTGTTGTTGGTGGTGGTGGTGTTGTATCGAGCAATGGTTGTTGTTGTTGGTGGTGGTGGGTGTTGTGGTAAGACAATGGTTGTTGTTGATCCCAGTGGTGGTGGTGTTGTGTCAGGCAATGGTTGTTGTTGTTGTTGTTGGCGGTGGTGTTGTATCAGGCAATGGTTGGTGGTGGTGGTGGTGTTGTGTCAGGCAATGGTTGTTGTTGGTGGTGATGGTGGTGGTGTTGTGTCAGGCAATGGTTGTTGTTGTTGTTGTTGGTGGTGGTGTTGTATCAGGCAATGGTTGTTGTTGGTGGTGGTGGTGTTGTGTCAGGCAATGGTTGTTGTTGTTGTTGTTGGCGGTGGTGTTGTATCAGGCAATGGTTGGTGGTGGTGGTGGTGTTGTGTCAGGCAATGGTTGTTGTTGTTGTTGTTGGTGGTGTTGTATCAGGCTATTATGGGAGTTGCTGTTGTTGCATCATTATAATCTTTTTCACGTAAAGTATCTAAGAATTACCACTTGGTCTGACGGCCGGCGCTGAATACGTTTAGAAAGGGCAGGCGGCGGTGATTGCTAGTGCTGGCGGTGTTAACTTCTCGTGCTGACGCTGATGACTGCTCGTGCTGGCGGTGTTAACTTCTCATGCTGACGCTGAGGAATGCTAATAGAAGCGCCAGGCGATGATGTAGATTGCTCATACTAGCACTCTTAACTACTCGTGGATTATTTGATGAAAAAACAACTCATGGAATGCCAGGTACCGTCGATTGCTCGTGCTGGCGATCAGGTTTCGTCTTGCACGTAACTGGGGTTCTAACAGGCGGAGTCCACTAGCCGGCCGCTACGCTCCCTGCTCTGTACCTGCACACTGGCCCGGAACCTGTCAGTGTCAACACAGGTGTGACCCGCCACCGAGCACTTGCCGGAGTCCTCACTGGTCGACCTAGAGGGTGGTGACCTGCGGGTCTTGGCAGTGCCTCGACGGGGGTCACTCGAGGTCAGGTCAAACATGGACTGGGAGGTAGTAATCGGGACTCCATCTGTTACTACCTGTAAACGGTTAAAGAAAACGGGGTGTTGGTTAGTTTCAAATAATGATAAAAATTATATATAAATTTTGATTATATAATTGAAAACCAAGAGATGTATAAAATTCACAAATTATTCTTGCCCTATAGTCATACACCAGACCTGATTTATCTATGTAAGAAAATGTAAAACAAAACTAATTTATGGTAAGTGTTCCGTGTACCTACCCCCTAGTGTTTATCGGACTCTAAGACTCTTCTCCACGGATCATATACCTTAATCATATACCCAGCTATCCGTATAATAATAATATAAATCTACGTGCAGTTTATATACCTTATTTAAATGTACAGTATTTCCACGAATTTATATATTACACACATATCAATGAACAACTCCGTACAGTATACACACACCTTCTATGTACAGGTATGTGGGCGTTAATTACCTGAAAACTCATCAAGCTTTCCGCCCGAGTTAATGTCCGCATGTAATTAATTGAGTAAGTGTTTGTTGTGTTGAGCATCAGTAATTAACTATTGTAATCTAATAAGACCTTTTGTGGTCACATGAGAGAGAGAGAGAGAGAGAGAGAGACCAAAGTACTCCACATCTTTGATATCACGTTAGAGTTGTTAATTAATACCTGTACTCCCTCACCACCTGTACTACCTGAGTCGACGAACCGCAGTGACTCAGACCTAACTATACCTGTGGAAATACTCACACTTGTTTATATATCATTTCCTCAGGCTATTATACATAATACATTACACTTCCCCCACCGGACTCCATGTATACGTAGTTAGAATATGTATCAATGTTTTCAGTGTATTTTCTTATTAAAATACTCAATTATCATACGTGATTTTAATGGACCTTTATAAAAAAATTATCTATTCAATATGATAATTAATAGTTTCTTTACAAGGTCCATTTATCGGAATATGTTTTTTGTATAGATAGTGAAATATATATCGTTTTATCTTTTAATGTGATAACGAAATGAATAACATTTTATTTTATTTTTTTTTGTTTGCTGATAAAGAATGGCGTAAATAAACAATAGTTGTGGTTAATGTATGAGGTTAAACATTGTAACATCAACAATTTGACCTTTCGTATTGTCCTGTTGTTCGGTTAGGTTAGATTAGGTTATTGTGTTAAATTATGTAATATGTATGTTAGGTTAAGTTATGTTAGCTCAGCTTAGGTTTTTTTTTATCTGTCCATATCTGTTATCATATAGATCTCTAATTATTCATATTTCATTTTATTCCCGTTATTCATTTTGCTATCTTGACCTGTTATTCATTTTGCTATCTTTACCTGTTATTCATTTTGCTATCTTTACCTGTTATTAATTTTGCTATCTTTTCCTGTTATTCATTTTGCTATCTTTACCTGTTATTCATTTTGCTATCTTTACCTGTTATTCATTTTGCTATCTTTACCTGTTATTCATTTTGCTATCTTTTCCTGTTATTCATTTTGCTATCTTTACCTTTTATTCATTTTGCTATCTTTACCTGTTATTCATTTTGCTATCTTTACCTTTTATTCATTTTGCTATCTTTACCTGTTATTATATACTATAGTCTCTTATTCACTATCTCTTTTTTCTCTCCGTACTTATTGTCTTAAATTATTCGTCTATTTCTACTCTTTAATTCAGGGGTTCTCAAATATTGTCTCACCAGGTACCACCATCAGACCATCCACCCACACCCACTATACTGACACACTAATTCAATATCACCTATGAATTAAATCTGGTGAAATTAGTATATTCTATAATGATTTTCACCAGCCCTCAATGTAACTCTCCCCCCTGGTAACTCTCCCCCTGGTAACTCTCCCCCTGGTAACTCTTCCTCCTGTGTGCCCCTGGGTGTTCGCGAGGCCTAGTCTGAGAGCTCCTGCTTTAATTTATTGTTGTTATTTTTCTATCGTCTTTGTCCTGTTTATCAAATCTTATCATATTACATTTCTCTATATTTTCGTTTTTGTGTGTGTGGTCCCTAGGGTGTGGTCCCAGGGGTGTGGTCCTAAGGGTGTGGTTCTAAGGGTGTAGTTCTAAGATGTGGTTCTAAGGTGTGGTCCCATGGGTGTGGTTCTAAGATGTGGTTCTAGGGGTGTGGTTCTAAAGTGTGGTCCCAAGGGTGTGGTTCCTGGGTAGTGGTCCCAAGGGTGTGGTTCCTGGGTAGTGGTCCCAAGGGTGTGGTTTTACGGTGTGTGGTTTCAAGGGTGTGGTTCCAGGGGTGTGGTTCTAAGGTGTGGTCTCTAGGATGTGGTCTAAAGGTGTGTGGTCCCAAGGTGTGGTTCCAGAGGTGTGGTTCTAAGGTGTGGTTCTAAGGTGTGTGGTTTTAAGGATGTGGTCCCAAAGTGTGGTTTCAGGGGTTTGGTCCCAAGGGTGTGGTCCCAAGGGTGTGATCCCAAGGTGTGGTTCTAGGAGCATGGTCCCAAGGGCCTGGTCCCAAGGCCGTGGTATCAAGGTGTTTTGGTCCTAAGGGTTTGATGTTCTTGTAAATGGTCGCAAATAAATGATCCTACTGGTGATAGTAAGTTACTCTCTCATGCTGTAGAAAATATGTATAGAAAATACAAATCTTACCCAATAATAATATAATGTTGTCTATTGTATGTACTATAACTTAACCTTATAATATAACATCACACTAGTAACTATACTATCGTTATGATCCTAACTACACTCTCGTCACTCGTTTAATCACCCTCTTGAAGAAAAACAACTAACTACGTTATCAATCAGCTAAGACAACTAACTGTGTTTACGTTCAGCCATTTTATATACTACTGAGACTGACAAAGAATTAAAGTGACTTATTAGTACATTCTGAGGCACATGCGTTGTTTAGTTTCGCTCATGTAATGTGATAAGACTTGTGTGTACAGATAAAGCTTTATAATAGTGCAGGTCCTTACAGTCCACAAGCTTAAGTCACACACATCTTGGCAATAATACTGAGGGAGGACAGCCACAACACCGAGTGAGAGGAGAGAAGCTTTTAAGGCGCACTAAGTGAACTCAGCAACACTATGGTGTATATATATATATATATATATATATATATATATATATATATATATATATATATATATATATATATATATATATATACAAAGTGAAAAGTGGGAGCAGTGTGTGTGTGTGTGTCATCCAAGTGTTAAAAAATCCGCAGCATCTTTAAAGGAAACTAAAGTGGGTGCAGAGAGGAGGAGAAGGATGAAGGGAGGAAGAAGGATGCAACACAGTGAAGACCACAAGATGTGTGACTTAGCGTGAGGGCTGAGAGGACCACACCCAGGCAGAGTCGACACAGGCGGAGGCAGCGGGACACCACGGCTGGTCCCCCACCACCTAGCTTGTCCCTCTCCACCGCCCCCCTTCCCTCATGCACCTCATCCTGTAGGGGGGGCGTAGCTGTCTCCTTGGGGACCCCCGCTTCCTGGGGGTCCTCGGGCTGGGGGGATGCCGCTTCCTGGGGACTCGTGGGTTGGGAAGGGGACTTGGGGGGCTCACCGCCGCTGCTCTCTGGATGCGACTATGCCCAGGGTGACAGGATTATTGGCAAGCTTAACACACTCCGTTAACTTCACACAGTTATCAAAATTAACTAAGATTCTAACTTATGAGTTTGGTGGAGTGTTAATGTGGTCGCTAAAATGACCAACTAATGGTTGTTATCACCGTAATGGGCTCATGTGAATATTTACGTCCCAGTTAATACACCTAACACTACCTGGGTTAAGTCAGGTAAACATTACGGTGATTAATATTCAGGTGAAATAAACTGGTTGGCTAATCTTAATGTGATTCCACTAATGAATACTAACTCATATCTACGAAACTATTGACCTAAGACACACACACACGAGTCTGCCTACACAAACATCATCATATCTCATAATTTTCCACCAAGGTTTAATGTTATAATGATTGTAGTTCATACTATAGTATCAGCTTCTATCTGGGTCATATTATTAGAGGTTCAAAGTTGACACGAGCCTCTTTTATAAACATAGGTAAGTACGTGTGTGTGTGTGTGTGTGTGTGTGTGTGTGTGTGTGTGTGTGTGTGTGTGTGTGTGTGTAGAAGTATACAATACAGTGAATTAATCAGTTTCGTGCCAACGTTCAACTAAGTATGAAGCCTCAGAATGAACCGTCAGTTTCAAGCCTCATTATAAAGCCTCAGTTTGAAACCTAAATATAAAGCCTCAATTCGAAGCCACAGTTGGTTAAAAAAAAACAGAAGTAAAGTATCACAAAACAACGTCACTACTCGCCTCATCTCTCTCAGTAATAACTAAACCCATAAACCTTAATTCTGTGGTTTATGTCCGGGAGCGACAGTTATAAACAAAAATAAAACGAAACAAAAATATTATGAAATGTTTGGGTTTATATTTATACAAGAGAGTGTTTCATTTTAGCTCTCAACATACACGGCTATTCTCGCCCTGGACAAATTAATACAGACAGTTTATATATATATCTCTCTCTCTCTCTCTCTCTCTCTCTCTCTCTCTCTCTGCATGTATGTATGTATATATATGTATCTCTGCCTGTGTGTGTGTGTGTGTGTGTGTGGAGGCGGGTTATCACATTTACAACGTAGGATAAACATCAATTTTTTATTCAAGTTTTGCTAAACCCTGAACCATCACGTATGTATTCTGAACCGTTAACTTGTGTCAAACTGTTTCAGCTGAGTTTAACATTTCCTAATAATAATAATAATAATAATAATAATAATACAATAACAATAATGATAAAAATAATAATAATAATAGTAATGATGATTTCTTATTTTTATCGTTATTATTAATGTTATTGTTGTTGTTGGTGTTATTTTTATTTGTTTATTTATTTATTTATTTTTTTTTGATAGAGAGAAAATTTGACCCAAATCCTGAAATTCCGCTGATAAATATCCTGGATACAATCATGTTCTTGAAGGTACATACACACACACACACACACACACACCTGTGCTTACATCCCTCTCCCCACACCTCCCTCTCCCTCCCCACACCTCCCTCCCATCCAATCAGTACCTTATAGTGATGTCTCTAACCCTTTTGCAGTGATTATCCTTTTATTGTCTTCTCTTATTCGTTATTCACATTTCTCACTTCATCTATTCGTGATGAGTTTGGTTCTTTAATCTGTTCGTTATTTCTTGGTCTTTTTTCGTCTAATTTGTATTTTTGTCCTTTTCTTTTTCTAACCAATCCGCCTCTCTCTCTCTCTCTCTCTCTCTCTCTATCTCTCTCTCTCTCTCTCTCTCTAATACACAGGTGTCAGGTTATGATACAAAATAAGCTTCGAAATTTTACTGCTCCCCAAAAATACTCGATAAAAAGATCAAATATATGCGAGAAAGGGGGAGGAAGAGGAGGAGGAGGTGAAGCAGGAGTAGGAAGAGAAGGAGGAGGAGGAGGAGGAAGAGTGAACTAGAGGAAAGGAGAGGAAGGAAGAGATGGTGGAGAAAAAGGGAGTTTAATAATAATAATAATAATAATAATAATAATAATAATAATAATAACAATAATAATAATAATAATAATAATAATAATAATAATAACAACAATAATAACAATAAAATAACAATAATAACAATAATAACAACAACAATAACACCATCTTCCGCTAATTACTACCATTAACATCAAACTTTTATTTACAACTCGATAACAATGGTCCTCACACAAGGTCACCCCAGCGTAAACAAACTTTCTTTTTAAACACTTGAGATGAAAGACAGAATTTGTGACTTAGGTGCTCCAGGTGCTCCAGGTGGGAAGTAAACCTAATTAAAAGTTTGGTGGAGTTAGTTTAGTATAATGGCTCTCTCTCTCTCTCTCTCTCTCTCTCTCTCTCTCTCTCTCTCTCTCTCTCTCTCTCAGTGTGTTGCCTCATATTGTTGGACTCTTCAATACTCGTGTGGCAATTGATACGTTTATGCTTGTCAGGATTCTTATGTGAGGTGAGTGAGACACAGACAGATAGGTAGATAATTGGGCAGGGAAAGAAAAATGGATATTGAGAAAGAAAAAAAAACAGAGAGACGGAGAGAAATACGGATAAGACAGTGAGACAGTAACAATTCTCTTTCGCATGTTAGAGAGAGAGAGAGAGAGAGAGAGAGAGAGATCACCCATCCCTTGTTAACTTCATAGAAACTTTGACATCAAGAACAATTAAGACTTGTCTCTGATCTTCACACACACACACACACACACACACACACATACATACATACACACATCCTAACAAACGGAGGTAAATTCGCTCCCCCGTCTTAAGTAATTACATTGTTTAAATAGGCAAGTCACCTCCCTGCTGCCTAGAATGGGGGTACTCGGCAACTCGGATTGGTTCATCTGTATTTTGGTATTGACCGGGATATTATTATTATTATTATTATTTTTTTTTTTTTTTTTTTTTTTTTTTATTATTATTATTGTTATCGTTATCGTTATCATTGTTGTTTTTTCTGTGTTGTTGTTGTTGCTGCTGAGTCAGTTAAGTATTCACGAATTCAGAGTTTTATAATTTTATCGGTTTTTAGACATGATTTTTCTTGTATTATTTAAATATTGTATTAACTGTAAGAGTATAATGATCGCTACACTCAGCATAAACCGCTACCATTCATATCACATACCTAAAAATCGCTTAATATCTATACCCTTGGTAACGCTGACTCCAGACAAAGCCCCGGATGACAACAAAGGCCCAAGTGACGTCATGGCCTCGGTCGTTACGTCACCAAACTAACACACTATAATTGGAAGCTGATTGGCGGAGACGTTTACACTATTTTATTTTTAGAATTTAAGTCTACAGGATTAGACAGAATTTATCAGAACGTGTGTGTGTGTGTGTGTGTGTGTGTGTGTGTGGAGAGATATGTCACTCACACGCATCACCTTCAGATAGACAGATATGGACGGATAGACAGACAGATAAGAAGACAGATAAACAGACGAGTAGACAGGCAATCTTACAGACAATAGATAGGATGGTGTTTATACGGTCATGCAAACAATTATACAAGTACAAAGAGAAAGTACAGACAAACAAACACATATTAAGTAAACAGACGATCATACATACATGCACAGACAGAGGTATACAGACAGGTACACAGACACACAGACAGAGGTACACACAGACAGGTACACAGACAGGTACACAGACACACAGACAGATAAACAGACACGCAGACAGGTACACAGACATACAGACAGGTACACAGACATACAGACAGGTACACAGACAGGTACACAGACACACAGACAGGTACACAGACACACAGACAGATAAACAGACACGCAGACAGGTACACAGACATACAGACAGGTACACAGACATACAGACAGGTACACAGACAGGTACACAGACAGACAGACAGGTACACAGACAGGTACACAGACACACAGACAGGTACACAGACAGGTACACATACACACAGACAGGTACACAGACATACAGACAGGTAACACAGACAGGTACACAGACCCACCTCAGGCAGGGGCGTGGTGTTGGTCTCAGCGTCATCAGTAGTTTGGCGTCTCATCATCTTGAATGGCACCTTGACGCTCACCTCCCCCCCGATGGCACTCTGCTAGTGAATGAGCCACCAGGAGGAACAAGGCCAGGGGAGCTACTTGGGGAGGAACAAGGGGGTCAGGGGAGTTGTTTGGGGAGGAACAAGGGGTCAGGGGAGCCTGGGGAGGAACAAAGGGGTCAGGGGAGCTTCTGGGGGAGGAGCAAGGGGGTCAGGGGAGCTTCTGGGGGAGGAACAAAGGGTTCAGGGGAGCTTCTTCTGGGGGAGGAACAAAGGGGTCAGGGGAGCTTCACTTAGAAGAATTATGAGAGAGAGAGAGAAGGTGAGTTAAAGAGAGAAGAGAGATAAAGAAAGGGAGAGAGAGAGAGAGAGAGAGAGAGAGAGAGAGAGAAGATAAGATATATAAAGGAGAATGCAAGAGATAGAGAGAGCAAAAGAGAGAAAAGATAGAAAAGCGACAAATAATATAAAAGTCATCCCAACATTAACACCACAACACAGAGAGAAACGAGAAAACTAACACAAAATAATAAAATAATTCCTCTTGTTGTTTTCTCTTATATATTCAGACGTTATGAAAATATTATATACATAGAATTTTGTTATTGTGTTTTAGGGAAGTGGAAACTAAAATACTGTACACGGAGAAAGTTAAAGTTCTCTTTCATACCCAGAGAATTTACTGTGTAGAACCTTGGGGTCGGGTGGGGGATGGGGTGGGGTGGTTGGGTGGGGAGGTAGCTGGGTTGGGGGAGACAGAGTTGGGGAGACAGGGTGGGGGGGAAACGGGGATGGGGGTGGTAAATACAATTAAAGACCAGGAAGATATAAGGAAGATTTAGTGCTGGGAAAGATGTAGTGAAACAAATGACGGGATTATTGGCCACTGACCGAGAGAGAGAGAGAGAGAGAGAGAGAGAGAGATCCTGGCTCGTCTTTTGAATTTCTTTCATCTGGCAACAGCAGTCGAGTATGACACAAATGTCCCTTCCTTAATCATATTCTATTCTCCCCCGTAATGGGCTGGAACAGGTGCACCAGCCTCACGGGGAAGGAAGCGACAGTGAACATGAAAGGGAAATAGAAAAAAAGGAAAAGGAAATAGAGAGAGATGAAAGGGAAGTAGAGAAAGTTGAAAAGGAAATAGAGTAAGACAGAATAAGATATACAGTACACATAAACAAACAAAAAAGAACTATGAAAGCAACGTACTGATGTTAATCCCGAAAGGCAGTATGTGACGAGTTCTCTTTTTTGACCAATAACCTTATAACCCCCTCCCTCCCTCCCTATCTCCCTCTCCTTAATGTGGCCTATAACCCCCTCCCTCCCTCCCCTTCATCCTCACCTTGACGTAATAACTGACGTAGATGGCGAAGACGTTCCTCTCTTCGGCGTCGGGTCTCGTGACGGAGGAGGCGAGGGCGCTCTCCCTGTCATAGAACTCCTCCAAGGCGATCCAGTTCTTGATGGTCCCCCTGGCAGGCTGTAGCTCGAACTGGCGGGAGAGGGTGGCGCCCGAGGTGATGGGGCAGCCCTCCGTCGAGTCCATGGTGGCCACGATGTTCTTAAACTTACCGTTGCTGAACATGGCCACGTCTACATACTGGACCACCAGCACCTGTTGGGAGACGATGAGGTGAGAGAGTGAGAGACAGAGAGACAAAGGGAGATACACAGAGAGAGAGAGAGAAAGTGTGTGTGTTTGTGTATCACCAGAACCTGAAGGGACTTGAGGGAGGAGAGTTGAGCATAGGTGAGAGAGAGAAAAAAGGGGAGAAGGGGGCGTTAGAAGGACAAGGTGGTGATTAAGGGAGGGGAAGGGACACGAGAGAGAGAGAGAGAGAGAGAGAGAGAGAGAGAGAGAGAGTGAAATGGTAAGGTGGGGAGAAGAAAAGAGGTGATTTGGGGAGTCAGAGGGAACGAGGGACGTGAATGAGAGAGAGAGAGATGAGAGAGAGAAATTAGCCATTTCTGCAGTATGGTAGATGGAAGAGAAAGAGAAGAGAAAGAAGAGAGAGGAGGGAGGAAATATGTAATTAGGCCAAAATAAAAGATGTCTTTATTATGCTTGAAGTAAGGGGAGATTATTATGAATGATGGGATGGCAGATGGGAGACTATAATGCTTGATTAGAAGGGAGACCAAAGGCTAATTAGACTCGGGGAGGCAGGACAGGGGGCGTATATCATATCTGGATAGGTGGGGAGAGGGGAGAATATTTTACAAGGAAAGGTGGGTGGAGAGAGGGGAGTTTAAGCTTCCAGGGAGGTAAAATGGGAAGGCGAATCTTATTTGAGCTTTGGGAGGAAAAAACAAAACAAAAACGTAACGATAATAACAGCGTCCGCGTACGACACTCTATCGCCAATGTAAACATAGAGAAGAGATCTTAAGTGAACAGGACTAGTTTGTGTGTGTGTGTGTGTGTGTGTGTGTGTGTGTGTGTGTGTGTGTGTCTGTAGAGGATAGTTCGAACGTGAGTTACACTAAGATTATTTTGAAGATGTATTTGTCCTGACCAAGACTTTCTATGACATAAAAAAATCGAAAATTAAACCTTTTTTTCTGAGTTGGTTTAGATGTCAGTGAGCGGTTTAATGGAGCACAATTCTACTCAATCCTAACCTAACCTAACCTAACCTGACCTAACCCATTAGTATTAGGCCCTATCAGAATTGGAACTCCTTCAGACCAGGACAAATAAGTACATGAATCATTTATCTAATTACCTGCCGTCAGATAAAATTACCTCTCTAATTACGATACTTTTTGACGATATATTTACAGATTTAATTACGATATCTAAACCTCACGAGTATTCATTATCACTTATTTACAGAAAGTACCGTAAATGATGTGTCAAGGAAGGAATGTCTTTTTTTTTTAGTTTTCTTTTTTTACTCTGTGTTGTAAATGACGTGTCCAGGTGTGTAAAAAAATATATACAGGTGTTCATTAACTTTTGGACTATTTTTTGAGGTCCAATTATTTTTGTTTGTTCTTTATTGAGTTGCCGAATGTTGTTGTTTTGAGTTTTTTTATTGTCGAGAAATGTTGTGTTTTGGTGGTTCCTTTCTTTACGTTTTCCTCTCTCTCTCTCTCTCTCATACCCATGCGATCAATATCCAAACAATTTAGTTGATCTCCATAATTAGGCCCAGCAGCCAACCACGCCCTTAAAACACACACACACCCTCATCCACCTCACCCCCTCACCCACCATCATCCACCTCACCCCATCACCCACCACCATCAACCTCCATCACCCTTCCTCACCCACCATCATCAACCCCATCATCCCCCACCCACCATCATCCACCCACCCCATCACCCACCACCATCAACCTCCATCACCCACCTCACCCAATCAACTTTCATTATCCCCCCTCACCCACCATCATCCACCTCACCCCGTCACCCACCACCATCAACCTCCATCACCCACCTCACTCATCATCATCAACCTCCATCATCCCCCTCACCCACCATCATCCACCCACCCCATCATCCACCATCATCAACCTCCATCACCCACCTCACTCACCATCATCAACCTCCATCATCCCCCTCACCCACCATCATCCACCTCACCCCATCACCCACCACCATCAACCTCCATCACCCACCTCACCCATCATCATCCACCTCACCCCCATCATCCACCATCATCCACCTCACCTTAATTCTCCTGACGTTCCTGGTGGAGTGGTTAGAGACGGAGACGTTGACGTTGACTGGTTCACCTCTCTCGTACACGGCCTTGTCCAGCGTGGCCTCTACCTCCACCTGACCGTCCGCCAGGAGCAGCTGCTTGGAGGCCGCCGCGTAAGGGAGCGACCTCTCCATCCCTGAGGCCAGTTGGTACAGCTTCATTCCCATCCTGATAGATGACCTCTTGTGGGGCTTGTCCTCCGGGCTCTCTCCTAGGGAAGAGGTCACAGTGAGGTAGAGGTCAAGGGTCATACATAAAACGTGAGGGAGGTGTGAAGTAGAGATAAGGGATCATATATGAGATGTGAGGGTGGTGAGAGGTAGAGGTCAAGGATCATATATGAGACGTGAGGGTGGTGAGAGGTAGAGGTCAAGGGTCATATATGAGACGTGAGGGTGGTGAGAGGTAGAGGTCAAGGATCATATATGAGACGTGAGGGTGGTGAGAGGTAGAGGTCAAGGAGCATATATGAGAAGTGAGGGTGGTGAGAGGTAGAGGTCAAG